GCCCGGGCAGGAAAGTCCATGACTCTTTGTCTCCAATTAGCCACCAAAAAGTCGAAGTAGAGCTGTAGTTCAAGTGGTAGAGCATCAGCCTTGAAAATAAGGGACAGCACCCAGGCTTTGCATTGAAGCCAGAGTGCCAGTGTGCACATGTGTGTGCGCACGCAAGCACACACACACACACACACACACACACACTCTCACACAGAACCTTCCTGAAGGGTTGTAACTGTTACCAGCCTCTCCTCCTGCCCCCTCCTCTGCAAGAAGTTGATTCCTGGGTCATCTAAATAGCTCACATTTAGTAGAACTGGAGTCAGAATGGAAATTTTAATGTAATTTTTAACTTCATGACTAAAAGAAATCCGGAACTAAGGCTGGTGGGGTAAAGTGCTCGCCAAATCCGTGTGCGGCCCTGGGCTCCCATTCTGGCACCAAGTGCAGTTTTCCCTTCTGCCTGGGCCAAAGTATCGCCACTCCCCCCTCCCCCCCACGTCTGGATCTGAAAGTCCAAGAGGCAGGGCACACCCTAGACAACGGGGAACAATCTGAGTACCTCAATCCAGCCTCCGATACAGAGCACCAGCTGGAGGAACTCACTATACCTGGCCTCAGGTAGCCAAATACGGGTCATTTGTCTATTCCCTTTACTGGGGGATATTGGAGTTTGAGCCTAGGGCTTCACACTTGCTAGGAAGTTGCTCTACCATTTGAACTCAAGAGGCCCCAGCTCTTCTTGTTCTGGTTCTTTTTGAGGCAAAAAAAGCTTGCATTTTGACATTTTCCACTGTAGCTAGGATGACAGGCATGTGCCATCATGCCCAAGTCTTTTCTGTCGAGATAGGCTCTCATGAACTTTCTGCCTAGGCTAGCCTCAAGCCATGGTCCTCCTGCGTCGCTTACAGGTGAGCAACTGGTACCCCAGAAGGGGGTTCTTCCGTGTGCCTGACTTTGGTCTTTCCTAGGGCTTGTGGGGTATTCATTTCTCCCAAGGAGCTTGGTTAAATCTTAGTTTTATCAAGTGACCCGAGCTTTGGGCTAAGTACTAGCGACAGCCTGAAGATGCTCTTTCCTTTAGTCCTAGGCTGTAAGTAGGGCAGATAAGTGCTGTATTACTTAGCTGTGTCCCTAGCCCAGGAACTGACAGATTGTGGTACTGGAGATCAAACTCAGAGCCTCACACTTAGTTACCTGCTATACCACCCAAGTCATACCCCTAATCCGCTTGTTTTTTTTTTTTTTTTTGTGCCAGTTCTGGGGCTTGAACTCAGGGCCTGAGCGCTGTTCCTGAGCTTCTTTGCTCAGGGCTAGCACTACTACTTCTGTGTATGTGGTACCAAGGAACCGAACCCAGGGCTTTATGAATGCTAAGCAAGCACTCTACCGCTAGGCCACATTCCCAGCCTTTAGTTTCCTTTTAGATTAAGACTCCTGTTACTTGGCTTCAAATGAGATCCTCCCGTCTCTGCCTGCCAGACTTCCATTTTTCCAAACACTTGCAGTTCCCGCCTGCAATCCTCCTTACTCAGGAGGCTGGTATCTGCAGGACTGTAGCTTGAAGGCAGTCTAGGCAGAAAAGTTTGCTAGGCTGCCTTTCTGAAATAAAAAGTAAAAAGGCTGGAGGTGTGGTTAAAGTGGCAGAGTGCCAGTCAAACACGATGAGACCTTTCAAAAGGTAGCATTGCCAACCTCTCTCCCCCACCCCCAAAATTCAATGGTGATAGCTTTGGTTGATCACATAAGAAACTATATAATCTGGAATTTGTAGCCTCAGCTCAACAATTTATGACTTCTCGCAATATGCTTCATGCCCAAGGCTGAGTGTGGGCAGGTAAATCCCAGGTGACCTCAATACAGATTAGTAAGCTTAGCCACTTGCTTGGCACGCTCCCTGCGCCTCCGGTCTGGGCACCTGTTACGCCAGGCCAGCAGGTTTGCAGCTTAGTTGGGGCAATGGTACACCATGACAATTAGGGCCTCTCACCCACTTGTGGGTGAAGACAGGGCTGGACGGCAGTGTCAGGAGCAGGGAGGATGCCGTGCTCACGCACGCTGCAGCTGTCTCCTCAAACACTTAGGGTCATACAAAAACCTGCATAGGTATGCTTGTAGCAGTAATCACAAATGCATCCTAAGTCCTTTACCAGGGCCTGCCTGGGTGGCAGCCATGGGGCAGACTTGGAAGGATCCTGAGATTTCATTTAAATAACACTCTGCAGGAGGCTGAGGGACAGCAGCCCGCACTTGGGAGCCACAGTCGGGACAGGAACAAAAGCCAAGTACAAGGGGCAGTGTGGAACCCTCTGGGGTGATGGAACTGTAAGATCTCTCACTTGTGCTGGCTGCCCTTGCCAGCAGGTACAGAAGTGCGGGTTAACAAGGGCTAACCTCCCCTGAGCGTAAACTACACCTCAATAAACCTGCTTGAGAAACCAAAGCAGGGAATGAGCAAGAACGGGTGGGAGGGGCTCAAAGTCAGTTGGGACAGCCTTAGGGACAAGGAAGTGGGAAAGAGCAGGAAGGAAAGTCAATCTTTATTGGATGCTTTCCTTTAAAGAGGATTCTGAAGCGCATACTCTCACAAGCAACGACTTCCTTATGAACAGAACACAGCTTCCTTCAAGTCTCAAAGGCCCAAAGTGTGTAGGATCAAGGTCACTGGGTACAGACAGCAGAACTTACATCTGGGGCAGGTGGTCAGAGTACCTCCTTGCCTTGTGAGCTGAAGCCAGAAATGGTCCAAAAAAGTCACAAGCTGTCACAGACAAAGAATATGGAACTTAATCAGCAGAAGTAATGACTAAGCTTTCTTGGGGAAGGTCAGGATGGCTTGGCTAAGTGGCTGTAGTTGACACTAATAATATAAGCCTCTTAAATTTCACACTAATATAGATGTCCCACTTTCTGCAGCAAGGTGATATGGCGAACGCTGCTGTGGCGGTTAGGTATGAGAAACAAAACAGCAAGATGCAGGCCAGCTCAGAGTAAAGTCAACATCTAAAGCATTTATTTGGGTATCTTTAAACTTTTTACATATGGTACATTCCCAATTTTACAAGTTGTCCACAGATATTAAAAGTTATAGCCAATTTATTAAACAGATATGATTTTCCCTGATATGGAAGGCAAGTTTTGTTATATAAACATTTCTACAATAAACATAAAACATGCGGAACAAATCATAAACTTAAGATGCTTCAGCAGGTAGGGAAGATGAGCAGCTTCACATCAGGAAATCAAAAGGTGTGATGTTGTTTCAGGGTAACTCACCCTAGGCTCTCTGACATCTTGAGGATCCAGGGCAACTCCCGCTAACTCCAGGCCTCAGTGCACTCAGGCCCTAATGCTGCAGTATTTTCATGATTTGTGAAAATGCTAATGTCCCCTCAGGAGAGTCCTGGTCTTAAGGTTTTAGTTTAAGCAAGGTGAGCAGAGAAAAGCCTTAATTAGCTGAACTTACAAGCTAAAAAAAAACCAAAATGAAACTGCATGTGTCAAAGGTGAAGATAAACATTATGCCATTCACTGTCCTAAGGACTGACTTGGATAAATGAAAGGTCAGGAAAAGGGAGAGCTATGGGTTCTAATCCGCACTTTTATCCTGGTGGACCTCCTCTGAGCTGCATGTAGCAATCCTGCAGTGCCAAGCAATGAATCCAGCCTCTAAGCTGTGCTTCTCACACGCGACCTTGGAGAGATGTGGCTCCTTCATCCTCAGGTTGGCTCTGGTCTGATGGTGCAGAGCCGAGAGGATCAGAACTTGGGGATGTGATTCAGAAAAGCCGAGTCCAAGGGCTACTTGTTAAAAAATCCAAGAGCCACGTGTCATTCAGCTGGACTCTGCCCCATGCTAAGAGAAGCTCAAAATGGGCTGGGCACTGATGGCTCACACCAGTAATACTAACTCCTCAGGAACTAGATCTGAGGATCATGGTTCAAAGCCAGCCCAGGAAGTTAAGTCTGAGACTCTTATCTCCAATGAACTACCCAAACATTGGGAATGGAGCTGTGGCTCAAGTGGTAGAGCTCTAGCTTTGAGTAAAAAAAGCTCAGGGATAGCGCCTGGGCTGTGAGCTTTCAAGCATTAGGATGGGGATGTGGGGGGAAGGCTCAAAATTCTTGTGCTAAGTCTGGTGTCACTGTAGATGTATTCAAGCTCCCAGCACACGTGTCACACAAAAGTACCTGTGTGATCAGATTGGGAGGCGTATGACTAAGCAGCTGACATTCTAGAAAGGCACCTCTCAGTAAGAATGACATCTTTAAAAAGAATCAAATGCCCGGGTGTGCAGACTGACCCAGGAGTATAGGAGGGGAGCCAGAGGACATGTACAGTGGGTGGGAATCTCAAAAACTGCCTTCATATGTTGTGCTAGCATCTGAGTCAAGATGCTCTGGGTTCAACCTTAGAAAGAACAGAAAAAAGTTGACTGTCTGAAAAATTGGGAGATTCCTCTTTTGTTTCCAAAAAGCCCTTTATGCAAATTTTTCTCTCAAAGCCAAGGTCTTGGCAAAAATAGGAAAAATAACAATCCAAAAAAACCAACCTTCCACAGGTTGTAAAAAACCTCCCTAGGCACTCCTTCTGCACAGGTCCTGAGCGGGTCCGAACCACGCAGCGCAGGGAATCCCATCTTCAAATTCAACGGCTTTGCTTTGGAGGTAGGGTCCTGGCAGCAGAGGCAACACCAGCGCTGAGGGGAGCCAGACAGTCTGATCCTGATGGGCCACAGAGCCTAGTTTCCTGCCTCTGCTGAAGCAGCACCAGTCAGCCCCAAGTTCACCAGGACCAATGATGGGAAATGTGTGGAAGACTGGCAGGTCATGGTGGTCAGACTCCTAGAGGGACAATGCCCCGTCCAGGAAGGGAAGTTCTTTCTTCTGTGGAACTTAGGAACCAGGCAGTGGCATCGGAGGGACAGAGCAGCAGTGCGAGGATGTCTGCTGACAGCGACGTTTTCCTCAGTCCTGGAGCCACAAACTAGAAAAATACAACTGGGAAGGGAAGTTTAAATAAAGAATTTATTTTAGACTTTAGCAGAACATATTTCTACTTTTGTTCTTGAAAAGCCATCTAGGTTACAAAACTCCAATGTTTTGGGTAGTGAAGGGATTATAAGTGCTGCCAGTCAATGCCAACCAGTGTGTGATTTGCTTCTTGTGCATGGCCAATTTCCTCTGTGATGCTGTGCTGGTGCCAGAGCTTCTGAATCTTCTTAAATCGTTCTTTGCACAAATGTAAGGGATTTCCTCGTCTAGAAGGAAGACAAATGTTACTCAGGATGCATGCTTTATTCACCTAGCATCCCCAATCCTTCCTGGTTGAGGAAAAGTACAAGTTAACTGGTTTTCGAGCCTCTGCAACACTCTGTTCTGTAAGTGGCTGTACACACACAGAGAAAAGACTTGTTACGGGGAGCTGATGAGCAGCTGACATCTGCTGAGAAGAGGAGGTACCTAAACTTGGCCTCTCCTCAGTGTGAAGTGAGCCGAGGGTTCTGGAGGGCTGGGTGACGCTAAAATCTGTGTTGTTCTTTTTGTGGGTAATGTAAAAACAGGACGGGGGCAAGGGGAGCAGAAGAGACAGGGAAAGGAGAATTACTGGTGATCTTCCAGCCACAGGTTTCAGCAGCAGCCAAATGTGAGTGCTGGGTCTAATTTAACCCCCAAGTGCAGCTTTCTTGGTCTCCCTGAGCTACTCCCACTCCTCAGGGCAGTAGGAAGAGCCAGGCACGATGGCATAGCCACCACGCAAGTACTTGGACGCAGATCCTCGAATTATCTGCCTGGCTTTCTAGACCTCAAGCTTTGGCTACTCAATATTGGGCAGACATGTTACATCACAGGTTCTTGTTTATTTTGTCGGTTGTGGGGTCTGAACTCTGGGCCTGGGCGCTGTCCCTCAGCTCTTCACCTCAAGGCTAACGCTCGACCACTTGAGCCTCAGCCCCACTTCCGGCTTTTTCTGCTTATGTGGTGCTGAGGAATTGAACCCAGGGCCTCATGCATGCAAGGCAAGCGCTCTACCACTGAGCCACCTTCCC